GCTGTTCTCAGGGTCTTTAAAGCTGTTTTCAGGGTCTTTAGAGCTGTTCTCAGGGTCTGTAGAGCTGTTCTCAGGGTCTTTAGAGCTGTTTTCAGGGTCTGTAGAGCTGTTTTCAGGGCCCCCCAGACAGTCCACATTTTTGCTCCAACCCAACACATCAGAAGGGGAATGTGGACAATTTGGAGTTCCTAAGGACCAATTTGAGGGAACCAGAAGTGGTTCTTCTATGCCATCGCTCACCTTTTGTGGAATAATTTCTTGTGCGAAAATAGTTTCATGAAGTCATTGAAGAACCACTTCCAGATTTTTGCTCCAACCTAACTTGCAACACACCCAGTATGTAAATGTTCTTCCCACTCACACATTTCTTTTTCAGATATGGTTCTTTAAGGAACCACAGCGTTGCTCAGAGAACACTTTCGGTAAAGAGTGATGCCATAGAACACCCACTTTTGGTTCACTAAAGAACTATGATTGAAAAGAGATTAAGTTGTGTAAGGAACCTTTAAACTTTTAAAAAGTTCTTTACAGTATAAACCTTTTAAAGGGTTCTTTACACTATCTAAACCTCTTTTAGGGTTCAACCTTCAGATTATGCAGAACTCCTTTAAACTTTAAGAAGGTTCTTCACACTTGCACCTCTCATTTTTACAAAAAATGCTTTCTAAAGAACCACTTGTTGAAAGGTTCTTTAGGGAGCTATAAGTGGTTCTTCTATTCTGTTGCTCTACTTTTATATAATAATTTGATGTGCAGAAAATAATTTCACCACAGACACAGCATATAAATGTTCTTTTCTTTTTCAGATATGGTTCTTTAAGAAACTGAAAGTGGTTCTTCTATGGCATTGCTCAAAGAACACTTTCAGTAAAGAGTGATGCCACAGAAGACCCACTTTCGGTTCACTAAAGAACCATGACTGAAAAGAGGTTAAATAGTGTAAAGAACTTTTAAACTTTTATAAGGTTCTCTGCACCGTCTAAACCACTTTTAGGGGTCGTCCTAGAACCTTTAGATTATGCAGAGCTTCTTTAAACCTGAAAAAGGTTCTTCACACTTGCACCTTTCATTTTTACAAAAAAATGCTTTCTGAAGAATCACTTCTTGAAACGTTCTTTAGGGAGCCAAAATGGTTCTTCTATGGCATTGCTCAAAGAACATATTCAGTAAAGAGTGATGCCATAGAAGAACCACTTTTGGTTCACTAAAGAACCATGATTGAAAAGAGATTAAGTTGTGTAAAGAACCTTTAAACTTTAAAAAAGGTTATTTATTTATTTTAAACCACGTTTAGGGTTCGTCCTAGAACCTTTAGATTATGAAGAGTGAAGCAAAAGTGGTTCTTCTGTGGCATAGAACCATTTGTATCGTGCATATGGTGATTGTGAAGGATAATGTTGACCATTTCATTGTGATATTTAGAATAGTTTTGTTTTGTATGCATTCAGTGCTTTGCAGTTGCTTTTCATTGATGTTTATTTGGTTTCACTGGTGGAGTAACATAGTCCGACTCACTCAGCCAGGCGTAATGACGGCGTAATAAACTGTAGGGTTTTAGCTTCGGCCTCTCCAGCTTGGCTTACTGCACATACTGCGAGTTCATTGAAAGGTCTGCTGCCCGTTTGACACACTTTGAGCATTATCGGCCTGTTTTATTCATGTAGCACAACGCGAAGTAGAGCATTTCATGAGATAAAAATCTGCGCGGCGCTTCTGACTCATAAAATAAGAAATCTGTTTACAGGAATTAGAAAATCAGACTTCACTGGCTTACACTGTATCTACTGTACATTATTATTATAGTATATTATATTATAGTATAGTATAGTATTATTCATTTTCCTGGGGACATTTCTAAAAAGAGAGATTAGGTATAAAACTGTCCAAGACAAGGAGAACGTCAGGAGAAAAAGTTTACAGAACTCAAAATGAAGCAGATTTAAAAGCTACAGAAAAAAGGGCCTCCTAACAACCACCTGGAAGACCTGGTAGACACCAAAACTGCCCCCGTCAGATAAACAGCACTTAAAGCTTTCATCTCTGAGAGAGAGGAGAAAATCAAGCTGCTTCAGATCTGAAAACATCCACAGGTGTTTCTGTCCATCCTTCCACTGTGAGAAGACGACTCAGCGCTGTGGGTCTGAAAGGATGTGTATCGGATCAAGAAGAACCTCACAGAGAAAAGGAGACGAACACATCGAACAAAGAAGCTGAACAGTGGACTGACCACCCCAGAGTCCAGACCTCAACACCACTGAATGTGTGATGACATGGATTGGGAGAAGAAGAAAGTGTGAAACCAACTTCTAAGACTGAACTTTGGAGGTGTTGGAAAGTATCCATTCAGATTTCTTTGAAAAACATGTTATATTTAGCTGTTGAGGTCATTTTCAGGTTTTTTCTGTTTTTTTCTGACAGTGAGAAATAAATAACTTGTACCTAATGGCCGTTTTGATGGAAAATTAAATAAATGAGGGGTGTCTGACTTTTTTACACCACTGCATATAAAACGTCATTAAAAAAGAATAAAATATGGCAGCTTTTGGAACAAAACCTTGTATCTCCATTTTTGTCATTTTTCAGTTTTTGCCATTATTTGAAAATGCCTGATGCTCTTTACATTGTGTGTAAATTTCGTGATGAATGGACCAATAAAAATGGCTCAAAATGATTTGGAAAATCTCTGGTTTCATTGACTTACATTAAAAGTAAATTTTTTTCCTTTTTGTAAAGTTACCATTTTGGAGACACAAAGTTTTGTTCTGACACCAACAACAGATAAATAAATAAATGTGTGTATATATATATATATATATATATATAATATGCCTTGTTTCAAAAATACCTTTGCTCAGTAGACAAGTTTCATATTTTTGTCTTCATGGTGTTGTGTTGGCCAACAGACCATCAATAACTCCTCTAATCTCCTAAGACACGTGAAAATGCCTGCACACCAAGCTCTCATTAGGACCAGCAGCTACTAAAACACGCTGAGGCTGGGTAACGTCTGCCCTAATCCTCCTCTTCTGTAAGTACATGAAGCAGGACTGCACGCAGGCCATCATCAAAGGCGTCACCCTCCGTCCCACAAACAGTAATTTACACCTGTTGTTATCTGTCTAAGTCACCTTAGTGTTCACTCAGCACAGTTCACTCAGCTCTCTGCCTTTTTGTCAGACCCGTTTGTCTGAGGCCGTGCGCTCGCGAGTCAACCGAATAATGCGAGATCACTAGAACTGTGTTGAAAATATCAGTACAGCAAAGTATCAGGATTAAACTCGATGCTGTACTGTGTGGGTTGATATTTCAGAATGTACACAGGGGCTGTACTGACGAGAGAAACAAAGTGTGAGCATGAAACAAACCTAGATGTGATCAAAAAATGTTTTCAACTTTTAATGCAGTGTAACTTAATGTGATATTTTATTTGACCAATTTTTTCCCATTATGAATTGTTTACACAACTTGAACGGGCACTAGCATTTTCAAATGATAAAAAAACTACAGGAATAGAGATGTAAGGGTTTTTTGATGATATATTTGATATATATATATATATATATATATATATATATATTTATATATATATACATACACACACACACACACACACACTACTGTTCCAAAGTTTAGAATCACATGTCATATCGATAATTGTTGTTATTTTAGTCCAGAATAATAGACTGAAATACTGTAAGGGAGACGCCAGCACACACTGTAAGATGTTTTTAGTATTTCACAGAGTTTGGAAACATCAAGAAGTTATTAAATGATTTAAAAAATACAGTCATCATCTATTTATCGTATTTTCTTGATAAGTTGTCTGATCACCAGTTTTGAAATATGAGGCATTCTGGATTTTAATTTTATTATAACTGTATTACTACAGCTTTTTCGGTCATTATGACATTTTCATCAGCTCTGTTCATCATTTGGGATACATCTAACATTTCTGCATTTCGGTGTATATAACAGAACCGTGTATCTCCATAATGGTAGGAAAAAACCTTATTTCCTTTGAATAGAAGTAATTTTGGAGCAATTCTGTTGGCCCGTTTTTTCTTTAATTTTTAACACGACCAATGAGTTAAAATAAAAAAAATTATCGTTTATATATATATATATATATATATATATATATATATATATATATATATATATATATATATATAAGCAAAGAACATACTTTACTTTTAATGTAAGTCAGTGGAACCAGAATTTTTTCCAAGTCATTTTGGGCCGTTTCTTTTGGTCTGTTCCTGATAAAATTTACACACAGTATAAAAGACAACAGGTATTTTCAAATTACATTAAAAACTGAAGAACGACAAAAATGTAGATATGCAGTTTTGCTCTGACAGCAGTGGTATATATTTATATATATATATTATATATGCGTGTGTGTGTTTGTGTGCATAAAATAATCAGTGTGTGTATAAAATGAGTTACTTTTTTGTGTTTTTTTTGTTTTTAACTGCTGTTTTCCACAAAAACAAAACTTGTCTTTTCAGAATTTTGCAATGGGGTCAACTCATCAGTCTCAACAGTCAGTTTATGAAAAACTACGCCTCTAATGTCGCCACCCAAAGCAGGAAACAGGGGAGAGCACCTGCTTACACAATAATCATGAACTAGACACATTGTCATAGCGACTCCTCTACAAACTGGGTGAACAGTATCTGACGGGACGGGTCACATGTTTTACCCGTTGCCCCAGCGGCCAGAAGCTACTCTAGTTTTGTACGCTGCGTCTACAGTAGGTTACAACCCAAATAATTACGTGAGTCACCAAATTACCGTGTCCACCGCCGCGCTCCTGTCCCTGTGCCTACACCTGAGCACACATACGCACACAGTTATGTGTCATATGCAGGCTATGTCTGTCAAACCAACACAAAAATGTAGACAACTTTCAAACTGGCGTCTGTGCGACACACAGACAAGCATGCAGCCTCTCCAAAGTGTCCGAATTCCACTTTAAAAGCGCACGACATACTCACCCCCAGCCTCCCGCGGAGCGTACGCCAGTGTTCCCGAGACTACGAAGACTCTGTCTCTTTCTCCTTCCCTCTCTCTGTCTGTCTCATCTCCCGCTCTCGCTCACGCCGCGCTCCTTGTCCATTCTCACTCACGCAGTCATCTTCCCTCCATTCACAAAACCGTCCCCCCCCCCAAGCACACCGTCCGCCAGCGGCAGAGAGACAACAGCGCTCGCTCTCACTCTCTCACTCACACACGGAGAGAGCAAGAGCAAGTGGGTGAGCCGGCAGGAAAGAGGGGAGTGAGAGAGAGAAGAGGTGGACCCGCTGTACAGCAGCAGAGAGAGAGAGAGAGAGAGAGAGAGAGAGAGAGAGAGAGAGAGAGAGAGAGGGAGGGAGGAATAGAGAGAGGAGTAGTGCAGGGGCAGCATGATGTAGAGATGCTGCACCACTAGTTTTTATAGCTGGGTGGGTAGCGCAGAGATAATAATACCCCATCCTCCTCCACAACACAAGTTAGGCACGGTGTGTAATAAAGGCCGCGGCGCAGACACCCTCTGATTTGGGGTCAGTCTAAATGAATTTTTAGGTTTTCTTACAGCAGATTTGCAGGGATCGAGGGAGGGGTGGGAGGGTGGTGGGGGGGACGAAAAAAAGCCCAGTCGTGCCAACACTATTTATGCATCTACAGAAATGTGGGCCTTTCAGAAAAGAACAGGAGGAGGGCAGCACAACAGAGGGCAGAAGAAGAAGAAGACGAAGAAGGAGTGGAGGATGAAGTAGCATATTACACTCGCAAGGCTGTGCAAAAGTCTGAATAAACGAGATGTAAAGCTGGTCAGCATTTACAGTTACCATCCAGTGCCTAGTTCATCCAATGAGTCCCTTATTAAAGTAAAGTGAAACCCCACCGATTTTCTAAACGTCTGTATAATTTAGTCGTTGAGACGTAAACAAAGTCGTTCAGAGGGGTTTGTTGTGAAATGGTTCATAGTAGAGACTTCTTTACAGTGGTGGTGATAGGAACCAGGGGTCGCTATGACTACAACACAAAAATAGACGTTTTATTTAATATCCAAAACCACCAGTGAACCTGCACGGGTCTTCTGAGTATTTATACGAAATATTGATGACGGTGAAATCTGAAAAACAAACTGTTTTGCCTTTTGACGCTCTCTCCACGTACTTTAAAAATACTTTTTAGGCTTTTTCGACACTGTCATAAAACAGTGCCTCAGACGTCAGGCAGTGAATTCATAACCATTTCATGTAATAGCTTTCCGTGAGGGAGCTGTTAGAGGTGGACGTCTGGTTCCTATCACCACCACTGTGAACAATTCTGACTCTGACTATTTCTCTAGAATGGATCATTTCGCACCAAACCACTCTGAATGTCTCTTGTGAAATCTTAACCACTCAATTATGCACAATTTTTGAAAAATCAGTGGAATTCTCCTTGTAATGAGGTGTGCTGCTGCTGTTGGCTGGAGTGCAGTGATTATTTCTGCTATTTGTGTGTATTTTAATGTTGTATAGTGTTTTTGCTGGCACACTCACTGATCATAGAAGTAGTTTGAAACAATTTTTTTGCTTGTGTTTTTTTTAACCAATTTACCTCATCCTTTATATTGTGGGAACAGTTTATGATGAATAGATCCATACAAATAGGAACATTTCAATATATCAACCCTCCAAGTAGTGAAAATTGCCAGTTTGGGACTTTTTTTTTGCTTCTGCTAGAGCAGGCATGTCAAACTGGGGACCTTCCAGGGAAAAGTGCTGCAGAGATCAGCATTTACCCTCATCTAACACTCTGGATTCAGTTCATGAAGGCCGTGCTGATTAGCTGATGAGCTGAATCAGGTGTGTTTAATGAGGCAGTGTGCTGAAGTCTGCAGTGTTTTGACCTGCAAGGACTGGAGCCTGACACGTGTGTGCTAGAAGGTTAGCATTTTGAAGATACAAGGTTTTGTTACGCCATCTCTGGTATATGTTGACTTGGTTCATTAGTACTTCAGCTGGGGTGGTTTAAATCTAAATGGTGTGGTCATCATTGCTATTGGTCACTCCTGAGCTTCCATCACTCAGGCTTCCATTAACCCTCGTATTTGGTTGAGATTAGCTTTACGTCCTCATTATTTGAGACCCCAACGATGTGAGTGTACAATAGTCATTTCAAAATTAATCTTTTTTTCTTTTCAAATTAGTTCTTTTGATATAATTAGAAGCCAGTAGACAGAAAATGATTCAATCCTTAATCCTCCCTTTCGCCACAAAAGTAGCCGTGCACGTCTGAGAAAGGTAAAAACCCAACAGTGACCATAAACACGACCATCAGACTAAATAATGAAGTTTAGTAGGAGCAGTTCAGAGCTTCAGAATCTTTACAGGAGAAGGAAGAAATGTTTTCTGAATGGAAATAAGTAGACATTAAGTAGACATGTCTAATAAGTAGACATTTTTTTCCAAGAATCTTGGACTGTTTCCATTCCTCGTGAAATTCCGACGCAGTAAAAAGGGCAGCTGGCATGTTAAAATGTCAAAACATGAAAAAACAGACAAAAGAAATGTAGATTCTGACAGTGAAATAGAAAGATGTTAATAATTCTCTGTAGAGGACTTTTGAAACTTCACCAAGTCAGTTATGCCTACTGAGGTCTACAATACCCCAAACACAGCACGAGGGTTGAATGTAGACTGTACAGTGATAGTAAGAATGGGATTTTTTTATTATGTAAAGTTCTGAGAACTTTATTAACGCCTGACTATGTGTTGAAGGGGAATTCCACCAATATTTCAAAATTTCTTCATAATTAAATGTTAAAGATGTAAGCAAAGTCATTCAGAGTGGTTTGGTGTGAAACGCTCTGTTCTAGAGAAACTTACCGAGTCAGAACTGTTACAGTGGTGGTGATAGGAACCAGACGTCCACCTCTAAAAGCTCCCTCACAGAAACATGAAATGGTTATGAATTCACTGACTGGGTCTGTTTTATGAGATCCATTCATGGCAGAGAGATGCATTCAGAATATTGTAAGGCAGTTCACCATTATCAACGTTGCATATAAAAACTCAGAAGATGTGTGGGTAAATAAAATAGCTATATTTGTGTTGTAGACATGGTTACCCCTGGTTCGTATCACCACCACTGTAAAGAAATCTCTAAGTTTCTCCACAATGAACCATTTCTCATCAGGCCACTCTGAATGACTCTGTTTACATCTCAACCACTGAATTATGACAGAAATTCTGAAAAATTAGTGGAATTTCCATTTGTGTAGGGTATTCAATGAAGAATGAAGTACACGTCCTTGAGGAAGACAAGCATACCAAGCCAGTTTATACCGGACGCTCTGGGTCCAGTTTTCCCAAAAGCATCTTAGTGTTAAGACCATCTTGGTAGAGACAGTGTTCGGTGTGATGCTCGCTCTACCATTCACGAATCGTCTTTGCACTAAGATGCTTTTGGGAAACCTAGTACTGCATGATATTTTTAAGAGTCGGTAATCAGAATAAGTTCTAATTTCTACAAGACAGAAAGGATTTTATCACAGCACCTCAAACGCGTGGCCAAGCAGAAGCTCCGTAAAGAGAGACATAGTAAAAGCAGACTGTCTGTCCGTCAATCAACAGAGCTTTAAATAGCCTGAAGCTGGAGGAAAATAATTACTCTGACTCTTTTCAGCCCTGCGCCACAGAACATCTGAGTAATCATTTTTCCACAACAAAGAGAAAAAAGTGGCACAAAATGGAAAATATTGTATTGAAACACGAAAGATAGATAAAACGAATAAAAACAAAAACAAAAGACAGGAAGGAAGAAAAGTAAAAAGCCGCTGTGGACTGTCAGCTGAATGAGCGATAGTGATTGATCTCTGCACGTGTGAGCATGTCAGAAACATGTGTGTTCCTTCACATGTGGGACAGGCTCTGACCACACTACTGGATCCTGCGGTTATTCTCAGTCTCTGCCACTCTACAGGCCTCTGCGCTGATGTTAATGTTAAGTCAGGCCCAGCGCGACGCCAGGACGCTTTTCACACCTCCAACAGACAGAAAACTCAACTTCCTGTGTGCTCTGCTCTTCCGAAACCTTCCCCTGCTGTGCAGATGTATTTTTAAGGGGTGTTTGGTTGTTTTCTTCAGTCGGGTGAGCATTTAGCTTCATGATTATTTGAATAATGCATAGCGTATTTTAAAATCTGTTCTTCCAACCCTTTGATTAGAGGTTGGTATTCAGCATAGCAGTCCAAAAACTGCTCTTCTCACTCATTATATCCACTGTGAAAGAAATAAGTGATAAAATGAGTTCTAGCTTCACTCTTTAAAAATAAAGGTGCCAAAAACGTTTATTTTGATGTGGTGCCATAAAAGAACCACTTTTGATTCCCTAAAGAAGCTTTTATGTTTGTGAGTGTGAAGAGCCTCTGCATAATCTGAAGATTCTTGAAAGAACTAGTGTTGCACCGATACTGATACTGTATAGTATCTGTGCCAATACTGGCACTTAAACACTGTATCAGCATCGTGATGGGGATACCGATATATATGACCGGTACCACAAAGCAGTTTCTGACACGAGCATGCGCGCCAGTAGACACGTCAGCAGTGTGGGACGACAAGCAGCAGTAAAAATGCTCATGGCAGAATCTGTAACGGCAGCATTTGGTGAGAAAAACACGCTAACAGAGCCGCTTATCTGAACGGCTGAGCTGCTTCTTTCAGTAATCACTCGTCTGCCGCTGTGTGGTCACTTACAGTCTGAGTTGATGTTACTGAGAGAGCCGAAGGAACCACCAGACTCTCAGCATAATGATAGTCTTTAGCCTCGATTTAGCCTTTAGCACAGCAGCCCACTAGCCGGGCCTGTGCGTCCACTAGCCCTGCTTGCTTTGCGCCTCTGTCGGTCAGCTGTATCACCAAGCAGCGGGGTCTCATGGCCTGTCGCTTCAACCAAACCAGAAAAACTCTGAAAGTCGCTGATACTGAACTGACACTCAGAGACGCAGCACGAGTGAACAAGACGCACGTCTGAGACAAACGACTCGAGAAATCTGATTGTGAAACAACATTCAGCTCCTTTTTTGAGCCTGAGAAGCTGCTGTGCTGATGTGTAAACACCACAGGTTTATCTGTTCACTGTTAGTTCTGTTTTTAACAGATATTTTACATTTATGTAAATTGATAAACGTGGCTCTTATTTCTAGTAATATAATAGTAAATACTAAATAGATACAGTAAATAAACAAAAATGTTTTCTAATAAATAGAATCCGACAAATAAATG